TGATTTAGAAAATATGTCAAAATTTCATGTGTTATAATTAATCATGTGCATAACACTATGAAGCAACAAATTTAGTAATTTGAAAATTTCATACCTTAATGTTATAATTCAACATGTAATTATATTTGTCAATATGTCTAAGTTATATAAAAATACTACTACATCCATCCTAAGAAACTTTGTCAATTTCAAAATGTTTACCAACTTTATCTTTTTATTGAAAATTATTTATAATATAAGAACTATATGAAATGTTTTTTGTTAAAAGTACTTTCATAAAAATATAAAATTTATAACTTCCATAATATTATATTAATCATAATCATGGTTCAAATTTTGTAAAATGGAAAAGTTTTTGGGCGGAGGTAGTAATATATTTTCTTTTATTTCATAATTAATGTTGTTACTCGAAGGGGTTATGCGTCTAGATTGAGTAATATTTTTATATGAGACCGTTTATTTTTGTGCTGATAATCATACTGAATTGATTAAAACAATCAATTTAATATTATTATTTCATTGTATTCTTAATGAGCAATGTTATTCATTAAGATGTCAGGCATCTATTCAATAATTTATTTACAAAATTAACCCAATAGATACTTTACTAGGTGGCTCAATGAGAAGAACTATTATATTACAGTTTAAAGATCAAGTCACGTTTTTTATTGAATGAGCATGTCGTACTTTCAACTAAGTCATCAATAAATATGACTCAATGGCTGATAAGTTGTTTTGATTAAGTATAATAATGACGGGTTATGGAAATGACAACGGTAAGTTTTTATATAGCTGGGACTCATAATTTTACTTGTAAATAGACATTTCTTACTTGTAGCACAAAGGTTGAATTGTTTTTCAGATTATCAATAAACTATTGTATTATTATCCCTAAAATATCATTTTCTAATATCATTTCATTGTGAAAAGAGTTGTGTGCTACTTTTTTATTTTTTGTACATAATTATATTTCACAAAAGCTCAGATCATATGACGAATTGTGTTAAATAAACAAATTAAGTTAAGGCTATAATTAGTTGTTTACTCGGGCGTTGCCCCGAGGCACATAGCCGCATATTGAATTTGTAAGACTTCACAAGATATGTAATATCTTTATATGTATCAATAATACATCAGGTTATATAATATAAAAGTTTTTGTTTTCAATAAATATTATTTCAGTTAAGAACACGACATAAAAATGATATTGTATAAATATTTGAATATTAGAACACCAAACAAATGAAAATATCACATTATTAGATTTGGAAAACTTCTTTATAAATAACATTCAATATCTTTGACTCTTGGCAGAAAAGTCTTCTTCCTTTGAACATATAAGTACTTGAAGACGAAAAATCGTACAATGATTCCATGGTATTTTATCTAACAATATACAACATCCTAATGTTAACATTTGATATTACCACAATAAAATTGTACTGTGTTAAAAATTATCATTATATATAATACTATTCTTTTTATATTTACGAGGTTTTTACTTAAATATTATTGAAATACAATTTATGGACAAAACTATTACTACAATTACTACTACGTATGATGTAAAGTTGAACACAATAATAGTCGCTAAAGTTACTATGATAGTCACTAATCCATATTTTTGTCCATTATCTTGATTTCGGTCATATATTTGTCATTATGTGTGTGTGTGACCACAATTAAAAGTAGTTACAAATTAGAATACTAAAATATGCTAAACCTGTTGATATCATATGTTTGTTACGATTGTTTTAGAAAAACATTTTCCTAAGTTGTTGTATGTCTCCGAACGGACTATTTTCCTAACTTATACGGAGTATTAGATTAACTTAGTGGAATTAAACTTTATATTATTTTAAAAAGTATCTTGCTTGATTGTATTTTTTTTAGAACGTTGAACGTCTTGAAAGGGCGTGGAGGAAGAAATTGAATGGAGTGTGTTTCATATGCTAAACCAAAAGATTGCATTTTAAGCCGCATTAATTAACTACTCTAAGTCATTCTTAGGGGATCCATGTGTTTGTTTAGGGATCATTTTGATTATGTTGATGATCTTTTTGGAGATTATGGTTGACAAATTGAGATTATTTTAAGATATTATTTGGAGAAAAAATCTTGTACATATATCAAATCTGAATTATTCAAGATTATTCTCGAATTTCTAGGTTTCTCTCCCAACTTTCGAAGCATAGTCACGGTTGTCGACTCCTCCAGAGTTTATCTCCTCATTACTTTTAGTATGCAAACTTATCAATGACTGCAGAGTATATATTGGGAACAGATGTTGTAAAAAATATCACTAAAATGTTATAAATCAAAATATATATAATTACTTACAAAAATATACGACAGTATAATATTAAATCATTAATAAATTGTTTTTGTAATGATTTATTCATTAACATGAGTGTATATATATTAGATGGTATATTATAGTAGTGTGATTGATTGAATATTAAAAAAGGCGTGAGCGTATGTGTATTTCTTATTTTTCTTTTTTGTGTATTTCTTAATTCTTTTTTTTGTAGTAGTTTGTATTATTTTTAAAATGTCTGTTTTACTTCATCCAATTGTCATTTGAATCTCCGCTTCATCTCTTTCTATGCATTAATTATTTGAGAATCAATGTCATAAAAATAACATCATGCGCTCCTAAACCTAAATAAACAATACTTGCACAATCAATCTAACAAAACACTTTCATTTTTTTGCAACCCCCCTAGAGTCAAATGGTAAAAAAAAGGAGTAGCGATTTTAAAGGTAGAAAATGAAATTCGGTTCTAAGCATTGAGCTGCTGTCCATATTGTGAGGAAATGTAAATGTTGAGAACTCGGATTGGAATATGGATGTATGTAAAGCATATCAAATTGATATAAGTTTGAGTTGCATGATCATTCAACAAAGTAAATAAAAAAGATCATAAATTCATTTACAGTATATATCAATCACAAGCTTATAATGCAAACATGCCCTTGGATTGAGTACATATCTCATGTTTGCTCATATAAGATATAGACTCTTAAAGGATGAAAATGTTATTCTTTTGCATTATAATACACTTTTCAATCTACTATCTAGTAAGCATACTAGAACAAATCTTATGCATCATGTCTTGAAGGAACATATATTAATCATATTGTGTAGTTTTTTTTCATATTATAGTTTACACAGTATTATTCTCCCTAGCATTTCGCATTATTCGCAGCTTTTACTCAACGAGATAGACGAACGGCCTTGAGCCAGGTAGCTTAGTATGTTGTATACGGACCCTTATTATTATCCCTTAATAAGATACGGCCGCCCACTGCTACAGAAACATCAGCCCATCTTACTCGATGGCACTCTGTATTTCCATACAGTCTCCACTCGAAATCTTTGGGTTACGTGTTGGGCCCTGAGATTGAAAGAATAAACATCAACAATATTTAATAAACAGTAATAAAATATGCATACATATTTATTAAACATTAATAAGACATACAACCCGCCAGAGTTCATGTGATTTCAAACCAGTATTGAAGTTATATAGCTCTCTATCTACCCTAAAGATCTTGCTCTCACACACCTCAACTTTTAATCATAAGTATCATCGGAAAGTTATTTATTTAAATCGAAAAGGCTGCATTTGCGAGAGGCGCTTTAATTAGACGATCACACAAACTGTATCGTTGCAATGTCAATAAATGGAGATAAAAAGACTAATGCCCGTCATTCATGGCTGTAGTTAAACCGACTCCGCGATAAAAACAAGAATAAATATCTCCAGCCTCTAAATCACGAATCATAACCCAATAACTTTAAGTATGATGTTTTACCGTTTTGTCATTGAGAATGCATTTTATGACCATAGGTGTATAAGTGTGTTGCTAGTGAATCGCTCGTTGCAGAATCGTCTTTTTCACCATTCCATTTCTTCCGCCTAAGGGGATACACTAGCGTAGATATCTTCCAATGAAGTCGATGAATCCTCCATGTTAAGACATATAAAGAATGTGACCGATAAAAGCAGTTGAGATCGTATAAACCTTTAAAAACTCTAGGGTATATAATAGTTATTACGTTGTTCACTTCTCATATAGGCATGTTGCATGGCTTTTTAGGAAGTTTTGCATTTGGTAAACAATTAACCAGAAATGAAAAAAACCATGAAAAAAATAAACATTATAGAAAAATGAATTATTAATTACAACAAATGATTAACTTATGTTTGTATTATATACTCCCTCCGTCCCAAAAACAACTTCCCAGTCACTATTCATTGGTCAACTTGAATCACTCGTAATCTTTTACTTTTTATATCAAATTTTTATCAAATTTAAATTTTATTGATTAGACTTTGTAGCGGTTTTAATGTAGTTTCTGAATATGTAAATTTTATTTATTAAAAATAATCCGAGTGTGAGCAGGGATCGAGTTGCTTTATCGTCAGTCAAACATCGTAAACCGAACGGGAAGTTAATTTTGGGACGGAGGTAGTATAAGTTAAAATTAAAACTTTAATAAAAAGTAAAAGCTAAAAAGTGATGTATTGTAACATCCCTAACACCTACACTACAAATTAACTCAAGAAGTGAAGATGGTGAAAATGAATACCAAAAGACCTAGTAAGAAAAACGGATCTGGAACCTCTGCCATACTTCAAAGCAAGGCACGGTGCCCGGCCCTCGGGAACCACCCGATCAAAAGATGGATGGTCGGAGATGTTGAAGTGCAGATCCCGATGCCGCTCTTCTCCCATCCGACGGTCCTCTGCGCGCAAGGCACTCTGTCGTGCGGCAGAGGATCCCAATCCAAGAAAAACAGCATGAATCGCAACAAGAAAAATAGTGATTAGTTAAAGTGTCTGACACTTCTTATCATTTTCTATATACATCAAATATTTATTTATCATCATAAAATGACATCTAAATATGATAATTTATAATTTATACTAGTACTATCGTATTATTTAAATTAATTTATCCATTCAATTGTGATCCAAACTTCAAACACCCTAATTGCATGTCCATTTTTTTTTACTAATTGGTACTCCGTATTATTGAAAGTTCTCAACTCTAGAAAACCACTTAGACACTTGGGAGCCATTGACCATCATCGGAGTGTCGTCGGAAGTTTATAACGACGAGGCATTAGGGCGGAGGTGGTCGAAGTGAAAGTTTCCAAAGTTTGCATGAGCGATGGAGGAGATATGCTCTAGGATCAAAGTGATTTTCCAGGGAGGCATTCTCACTGATTCCCAAATATCAGAGGGGCTGGAGAATACTTGGGTCCTCCTAAAACCCCAGCAGCAAAAAACCATCTCGGACTTCAGCTCCTATATCCTCCAGCTTTTCCATCTCAATGAATCCTGCCCCGGTGGCGTTGTGCTCTCTGTATGTAAACTACCTTCACATTCTAGAGATTTTGCGTGAACTGCTAGAGGTTTATACTGCTTGTTGATATTTGGAAATTTAGGAAGTCATTTGAGTTTTGAGCAGGTTTTTTATATCGTGCGTGGGTGCTATTTGTGTTGCTTGTTGTCGTTTGCTGCTTTGATTTACGTGAATACTTTCACCCTTGTCTTGCAAAAAGTGGTGGGAAATGGCTAAACTAGTAGAAAAATCAGAAACAGACTGTGGGACTTGGTGGGTTCACCTGTAAAAGCTAAACGTTTCATTGAGCTGGGGATATATATTTTGCCTGCTTGATTCTGAATTTACATTTGCTGTGTGAATTTCATTTTATACAGATGGATGGGTTTGTCTTGCCCCCATTTGAGTCGACTAGTATTCTGAAAGATAAAGACGTTATCAGGTCTGTCTCACTTGTGGCATTTCTTGTGTGTGGTTCTATACTGGTTTCAGTTGAAACATATGAATTCTTATTATGGTACATTCAATGTGTTAGTGTGAAGAGAAGATTAGGTACTTCTGGTCCTTTTCTTTTGGCAAATGAGGAATTTAACAAGGAAATGAAAAGTTATGAGAGTGAGGAGCCAAAAGGCAACAAGAAAGATGAGGTCTGTGCTACTTCTCATCTTATGGATAAGTTGGGCGGAGATGAAATCTGCAAGAATAGAAAGGTTGGTGGGAAGAGAAAACAAGGCATATTGGCTATTGAATGCAATGAAGCGCCTCTGGAATCTCAACCTTTACTTTTGGCCAATGAGGAATTTACCGAGGAAAACGGGAAAGACGAGAAGGTCCATGGCGCATCATCTCTCAATGATAAGTTGGATGAAGGTGCAACCTCCAAGAAAAGGAAGGCATCAGAAAAGCTTCATAGCTCAAAGTACGAACTAATTCATGTTTTATATGGGTCCATTTTCCTTTCTTCTGAAGTTGCATGTTTCAAATGTGGTGGGAGTTGACTTTTATTTCTTATAATTTTATACTATTATGTTTCACAACCACAGGAAGAAGAAACATCACTCTGAAGTGGAGGAGCCTGATGTTGATGCTCAGGCAGAGCATACCGATAAAGCACAATTAGTTTTGAAAAGGAAGAAGAGCAGCTCTCACAAGAAGCAGAAAATATCTGATTCAATTGAGAAGGATGATGCCGGAACAAGTGAAGATAATGTGATTGCACCTGTCACGAAGATGTATGTGCCACTATACCTTATCTCTAATCATGTATTTACCATTCCTATTCTCGAATTGAGTGTAAGACACTAAGACCTGTGTGCGATAACATTAGTTATTAATCTATTTTTTGTTTACCCACGAGTGGTTGTTTGCTAGACTGAAGGGGACAATGTGGAAACAACACTCATTGTCCAGCCACAGAGAACGAGAACACACACAAGCATCCTTAACAATCGTGTATAGCTCTAAGGTAGTGTGTATCATTTGATCATAGGGAATAGTGGCACATCGCATATTACCATGTGCCTTCTGCAGTAGACCATTTTAGAAAAGTCTATTAATTCTAACCCCATATGCCCTTAAAGAGTAGCAGCTAGCAACTAGAAGAACACTATTTCTGTGATCCAGCTTTCTGGTTTACAAAAAGTGGGTTAGAATATGGATAAATTGATCATTGAAAACAAAAGAGCAGTTTTTCTTATGATTACAAAAAGCAGGTTAGAATAATGGCTTTCTTAAGATGGCTTTGTTGAATTGGGCCTAACTCATCCAAAAGGGGGTCCTGAAGAAAGAGCCAGACCCAGGCAGAGCATACTGAGAAACAGCAGTTAGTTTTTTAAAGGAAGAACAGTATTCACAAGCAGTTCGCCTGACCTGACCATATCTCATCAGGCGTTTCTGAAAAAAATCTTCTCTCAGAGTTTAGTCTGATTATCTTATCTTTATATTAAAGTATCTATATTTTTCAATTTGCTATCAATACTTATGGACAAGATGGTGATATAGAGAAGATGGTTTAGTTGTTATGGGAAATGAGCAAACTTCTATCAGCCATACACTGTTGGTGTGACCATTGGAGTTGACCTTTTTTTTTAAAAAAAATTTATTTTTATGTATGTCAATGACAGGAAAAAGAAACATCGCTCTGTAGCTGAAGAGCCTGATATAGATGCTCAGACAGAGCATACAAAGAAAGGGCAATTAGTATCTAAAAGGAAGAAAAACAATATCCACAAGAAGCAGAAAATATCCAATTCAAATGAGAAGGATGATGCCGGAACAAGTGAAGATAATGTCATCGCACCTGTCACAAACATGTATGTGTCACTATGCCATATCTCTAATTAGTAATTACTCTACCATTCCCATTCTTGGACTGAATCTAATACAGACTCCTCAATAAGAGGTTTTCCATAGATCACATTGATGCTTGAGCTCTGTATGATTATCTCTTGTCAATTCCATGCCCTTGCTTTCCTCCTAAAATAAATTAATTATTTTACCCCGTGCTTCTATTTATAAACTTCATATCTATTGCATAACCTGCTTATAACTGTATATGATAACATTGTAACTAATCTCTTGTTTGTTTACTTAGGAATGATAATTTGCTAGAGACTGAAAAGGACAATGTGGAAACAACAGCCATGTCAGAGGAAACTCCAAAGGTCTGTACTAATAGGCTAATAGCTGCTTGCAGTTTTCTATATCACTTTACCTTGGCATAAAAATTGCCCTCATATTATTGCTGCATTACTTTTTTTTCCGCTGAAGTCTATATTGTTGCTAAGCTTTTGTGAGCACTGAGCAAGTGAATGTGGGTATTTAAATGTAGTTCTTGTGACATAAAATAGACCCCAAGCTCCTATCTTATTGTGATTTATGATTAAATTCTGAAGCATTATACTTGATGGATGAAGAGCTATAAAGTTATGCCCTTTCTATCCTCTGTTTGACATTTCCCTCTCTTCGGGAAAAGATCGAGCCCTCTAAAACCAAAGGCACTTTGGATTAATATTAATGCCATTGAAAGATGAAGGGGGAGGAATTAATTTCCAAAAACGTCCAAACTGATAGAGAGCAAGAAGAGCAGGTGGCGAGAACGGGATTGGGCCCACTTCTGTGGGCCTGTTAGGGGCGGGTTATAGTTAATTTATTATTATAAAGTTTATGTTATGTTTTTAGTTTGGGCCTATTATTAGTAGAATATTTTAGCAGAGTTAGTATGGGCTTAATTAGAATTAATTAATTTGGGCTCAATTACGGTTTCTCTTAGAAGGCTATTTATACCCCTTGCTAGTGTTCATTCTTGCTTATCTTGGAATAAAATTGGTTTTAGCCTTTTGGCTCGGGGCAACAGTATTTTTATCGTTGATTATCTGGGCAACGGTTCACCCCGTTGATTTTATTTTTCCGTTACACAACAATTGGTCAGACACTCCGACCTGCCAGATCCCGTCCCGCCAAGATGACGAGAACTCAGAACGATCGTTTGACAGAACTGGAGGCCGAACAATCCTCAATCAACCAAAAGCTTGACGCGCAAGGACTGAAATTGGAAGAACAGGGAGCCCAGCTTGCGGAAATCGCAGCCTCACTTGCAGCGACCGCGAAGGCCATGGTGCCGCCAGAGAAGTCTCCAATCGCGACCGTCGAGACTCGAGAGCGACTCCTCCGCCCACGTCGCGACTGCCTTTTCTGATGATGGCGGACCACACAGCGCAGCCACAACGCTACTTCCCTCATTCGGCGACGAAGACCCAATTGAGTGGTTGGCGAGAGTGGAGCAGCAGTTCGAGATCAACAGGACCCCACCAGACAGACAAGTTACAGCGACTAGGGTTTCTTTGGAAGGGGCTGCCCTCTATTGGGTGACTTGGTTGAAGGCGCGCAAACCCGGCATGTCCTGGGAGGAATTCCAGCAAACCCTTGTGGCCAGATTTGATTCTCGATATCAGGGAAACCGATTTGAACGGCTGTCTAGCGTCAAACAAATTGGGTCTGTGGAGGATCCAGGATTACAATACCTGTTTGTTCTGTTCAATTGTCTAGCCAAGTTCCGGGATTGTCGGATGAGCATTATTTGGGATACTATATGAATGGACTGAAGGAATCCATCTGAAGCTCGTTGTGCTTATTTCGACCGAATAACTTAGAAGTGGCCATGGAATTAGCTCGTGATGTGGAGTACAATCTGTCCGTCCAAAGTGGAGGAAGTGGCAGTCCGAATTATAATCCTTCAGGGGTACGTTCTAGCAGCTTTTTAATGTCAAACACAGGTCCTCCATTGACTGCCGCTGGTGGTAGCATACAAGGATCAAGTGGCAGCCTTCCGAAAGATAGTGGACAGCCCTCGGGGACAAAGTCAAGACTGTCCGTGCAGCCTACGACACACTCTCAGTTCACTCGACTTCCTCCAAAAGAGTTCACAGTATTGCGGGCGAAAGGATTATGCTTTAGATGTAAGAACCATTTACACCAGGGCATGCCCCTTTAAGCAGTTGCAGGTGATGATAGCTAAGGAGGATGAGGAGTTGGACCTCCAACAACATGAGTATTGTGAAATAACCGGTCAGGAAAAGGTTCGGAAAGGCCAGGGGAGTCCGGAAAGAGATTGATAGAGAGCAGGAAGAGCAGGGGGCGGGAACGGGATTGGGCCCACGGAGCTAGGGGCTGGGGTTATAGTTAATTTATTATTATTATAAAGTTTATGCTATGTTTTTAGATTGGGCCTATTATTAGTAGAATATTTTAATAGAGTTAGTATGGGCTTAATTAGGATGAATTAATTTGGGCTCAAATGGGGTTTCTCTTAGAAGGCTATTTATACCCCTTGCCAGGGTTCATTCTTGCTTATCTTGGAATAAAATTGATTTTAGCCTTTTGTTTTACCCCGTTGTTTTTTTATTTTTCTGTTCTCAACACAAACATAAGTTTGGAAATGACGTACCCACTCATGATAATAAATGAGTGACTGTGTGTGTAAAAGGCTAAAGACAAAATGCATTTTTGACGTATGTGAAGATACTTTCTAGGAACTTATGCCCGTACAAAAAGTTACTAACAATACTCACCCATAAAAGTGCAGAATACTGACTGCATAGTGCATTTTTCTACTACCTCCGTCCCGGTGGACTTTGCCAAGTGCAAAGTAGGTGAGAAATAAGAATAGTAAAAACTGTGTGGTTGAGACTTGTGCAGAGGAGAGAGAAATGTTCAGAACCACAAATTAGTCGCTTTAATAGGAAAGTGGCAAAGTTTTTTGGGACAACCAAAAAGGCAAAGTTGGCAAAGTCCAATGGGACGGAGGGAGTATTTCATTTGAAGTTCCTTTGTTTTCTAAACATGCACATGATCTGCAAACATGCTTTCTTGACTTCACAGCGCCGTAGTAGAAATGCCAAGAGAAAATCAATAAAGAGGAAGTGGTTGCAGGAAATGGCTAAAATTCAAAAGGCAAATACTGATTCTCAATCAGAGGCAATTGTAAGTAATATCAAATGCAAAACTGAACATCACAGTAGTAAAGATTGACCTAACCGGCTGCTAAGGCCGAGGCAAAAACTTAAAAACTATCCTTCTTTAGGCGATGGGAATTGGCGCCCTAGAAATACTAGACAGAAGCTACAATATTTTATTATGTATTTTTTTAAGGATTATTCGCTAAATACATAATAGAATATTGTAGCTTCTGTCCAGTATTTCTTATCATTGAATTCACACATCTATCCCGTTCTTTAACTTTTATTAAAAATAAATGAGACTCAAACTTCAATTGTTCTCACAATTACACTTTCAATGGATGAATTAGTAATACTTAACAAAAAAATCTTGTTTCTATTTCATATTTTTTCATTTCTTCTAGTTTTAAGGTGACAAACTGTTACGATCCCACACCGGTCAAGTATGGGCTTGGCCGGTGGCTTATAAGCAATGTGTTCCCTCCTCCTAATCGGCTGGTCCTTTAGGAGTGAGTTCTACACATGGGCTTGTGGCACTGCTACGGGCCTAGTATGGGTTAGGTCCATAACAATTGGTATCAGAGCCATCCCCATCTTCCTAATCCCGACACTCGGAGTGGTGGCCTATGGAGTGGTGGCTTGGGCCCTGGGGGTGCCAACCGTGACCAACATAGTCGTGACCAACGAGGACGTTGGCTCTTCGAAGTGTGGGGTATTGTTACGATCCCACACCGGTCAAGTATGGGCTTGGCCGGTGGCTTATAAGCAATGTGTTCCCTCCTCCTAATCGGCTGGTCTTTTAGGAGTGAGTTCTACACATGGGCTTGTGTCACTGCTACGGGCCTAGTATGGGCTAGGTTCGTAACACAAACTTGTATTGCTTATACTTTTTTTATACACAAAAAATTACAAAAAATAATCTTTTTTACTTGTGATAAAATTAGTATTTCTTATAATTAATCAACTTTTGGTGTATAACATGTGAAAGATAACTACAAAGATGAAATTATCACTTACAACTATTAGAAAAATTCAATTTTTTCTAGGTAACAAAAAAAATTATATTAAATAAATAATACTCATTTTACTTGTCTTACTTTCCCTTTTGGGTTTCCCAAAATAAGTGTCACTTTTCCCTTTTGGGAAAGAAATATGTGGTTCACAACATTTCACTTTACTATACTCAAATCTAAACCAAAACTTTTACCTTTTCAACCACTTTATTAAAAATTGTGCCAAAACCAAAGGAGAGACATAAAATGGGACGGAGGTAGTAGTTCTTTGTTATTGTTTAAATTAATTTAGAAACATCTAAAAAACATTAATATATTAGCTACTTAATTCACGTGTTAATTGGAGTATCATTTTACGTTAGTTTTGAGATTTTTGTAGATAATTTCAATTACAAATTAGTATATAGAAATTGCTCTAAATAGGAGTAAAAACGTTTTGAAATTCCAAAATAAGACTATCATTTTTTTTATTTCCTGAATAGGAGTAATCTGCCAAGTTTGGAAAAAATGCCATGTTTAAAGCATAGTAATGCCAAATTTGGCAGAAATTTCAAAACATTTTTACTCCTATTTAGGGAATTCTCTCGTTAGTATACAAAATTATTTTTTAGATTTTATTTAAGTTTTTGCTAATTCTTCAAGAAAAAATAGAATTAAAAAATTAATAAAAATTGTGAAATTTAATATGGGAATATAAAATTTATTGATATTGGCATAAACGTGTAACTTTGAAAAAACATAACAGAAAAGCATAATTGTTGAAAAAGATGAAGTTTGAGTCTTCTTTTGATAAAAGTTAAAGAACATAATAGGTTTGTGAATTTGATGATAGTTTGTGATATAATAAGCTGATTATCGTTTTATAATTAGTTATTGTAAGGGTAGGGTGCCTACTGTCTAGGTCATTTTCTTGTGCCAGATGGGCACTTAGCATTAGCACGCGTCTACTTCTTAACATTAAAGAATAATATAATGAATGTGAAGAAAAGTATGTGTTGGACATTGTAGTAGACTTATACTGGGAATTCGTATTTCAAATTTTGCAGAAAAATTGGAGAGAAATGCAATCCAATTCTGTAAGAGAAGAGCCAGCTGGCCGACAAAATGGGCATGTGAGTAATTATACCATCTTAGCAAAGTATAACTCTTATGTTTCTGCAGTATAGATGCCAATCATGCCATAACTAGTATCTTGAATTTTCAAAAATCAAGTGCTGATATCTGTTAGGTATCACTTGTAACTTTGTAAGTATGTGCAGGGAAGCCATGTTTTTTCCATTATTAATTTTTTATTTTCTATGACTATTGGAAACACATACTTCCAATTTTGTAGAAGAATTGGAAAGAAATGCAATCTAAATCCGTAAGAGAAGAGACAGCTGGCCGATCAAATGGACATGTGAGTAATCTTAATAAAACTTAACTCTTTATGTTGCTGTGGTGGCATATAAATGTCATAACTTCTATCATGAATTTCCAAAAATCAAGTGCTGATATTTGTTTGGAATCACATACAAGTAAATGAGGCGATGCCACATATTGTCAATATATGTAATTTATTTATTATCATCATTGTTATAATAATAATAATAATAATAATAATAATTATAGTTTATTTCTATTGGAACAACATTCTTTCAATTTTGCAGAAAAATTGGAAAGAAATACAATCTAGATCCTGTAGAGATGATGCAACTGGCCATTCAAATGGACATGTGAGCGATAATAGTAATCCTATAAGGCTATAAGGCTATACCTATAACTCTTATGTTTCTGTGGTATAGATGCCAAATCACGCCATAACTTCTATTCTAAATTTTCAGAAGTCAAGTGATGATATTCATTCAGAATCATATGTAAGTATCAAGGATACCACATTTGCCACAATATTTTATTTATTAATTATTCTTATTATCATTGTTTATTTCTATTGGAAACACATTTTAAATTTACAGAAAAATTGGAAAGAAATGCAATCTAAATCCGGTAGAGAAGATTCAGCTGGCCTACCAAATAGACATGTAAGCAATAACAGTAGTAATCCTCCAAGCATAACTCTTGTGTTGTTGTGGTATAATGCCATAACTTGTATCATGAATATGAATTTTCAGAAATCAAGTGCGGATATTCATTTGGAATCACTTTTAAGTATATGCAGTGATACTGCCGTTGTATTTTGTTATTATTCATTTAGAAACTCATTTTCCATTTTCGCAGGAAAATTGGAAAGAGATGCAATTTAAATCTGTTACAGAAGATGCAGCTGACCTACCAAATGGACATGTAAGTATTATATTCTGAATAAGCATAAAGCTTCTGTTTTGTGTAGCGTAGACACCATTAATTAGTATAATTACTTGTATCCTTGGTTACAGAAGACAAATACTGATTCTCAATCAGAAGCACTTGTAAATATACACAGATATGAATCATATGACACATTTTATTGTGTGTGTGTGTTTATTGCAACGGACACAAAGGAGAGCAAGTGGGGGCCGTTGCCCCCCAAAAAAGAAATTTTAAGTAGGTATAGTTACTTCAAAATTTTAATATATATATATATATGTGTGTGTGTGTGTGTGTGTATTATTTACACTACTGCCCCTCCAACCGGGAATTTTTGCATCCACCACTTATATACAACAACAACAACATTCAAGCTTTAATCCCAAAAGATTTTGGGGTCGGCTAACATGAATGGATCCATGATATTGATGCCAAAAAGAGAATACATACAACAAGAAGAAGAAAAAAGTAAGATAAAATGGATAAGATAAAGATAAACAAATATAAGATAGAAATAGATAAAAAGAGCATAAAAAAGCTAGAAGATAAAAATATAACGAAGATAAACGATAAAAAAAATGGAAAACTGTCAAATAGGTCCTCGAACTTTCATAAAAAAGTCAATTAAGTCCTTCTATAGGAGGTTCTGTCCGGCCGTCGCGATTTGGGGCAGTTCCCGGTAGAATTTTTTGATAAAATATTTTGAGCATCTTATTCACCAAGTCTAGTTTACTCATACCAAATTTCAGCTAAAAATTCAATTGGGAACACATTCAAATTAATTCTTGAAGATAAATGCGCATTTTTGCGTTCTCGAATTAAATTGAATGCGCTCCCAAATCGCGACGACCGGACAGAGTCTCCTATAGAAGGACTTAATTGACTTTTTTTTGAAAGTTCGAGGACCTATTTGACAGTTTTCCCTAAAAAAAATAAAGAAGATAAACGATAAAAGAAAGAGATGTATTTATTTATTTATTTAATCTGAAGAGAAATATTTTCCTGTCAGAAAATGCAGCTAAATAACCTTTAACAAACAAGCACTATATTTGATTTGTATAAGCAGATTGTATTCTCAATTAATTGGTTTTGTATGGAAACTGCAAAGCAATGCATTCTAATAAATCGGAAGAGACATCTTGCCAACCAAACAGACATGCAAATTAAATTAAATCTCCTGCTTCTGGGGATTGCCGACCACTAGTTTTTCTTGTACTAAATTTTCATAACAAGACAATGTGGGGACAGGCTAGTGTAAGGAGTGAAGAGGGTGGTGGTGGTCAACAAAATGAGTGTGTGAGTTACTGAATGTTCATACTTTTTGTGAGTCAAGTGCTCCGTGTTTATTCATTCTTTGACAAGTTATATCTTAAAATAGTAAAATGTTAAGCCAAACTGGTTGGAAATACATGTGAGTTACTAAAATGCTAACAGTTTCACTCATGTCAGTGACAATAACCACTATCCATTTCTTGAGCAGTTATATCCTGAATTTCCAGAGAAACAGTACACATAATTAGACCACAGTGAAAAATGGAGAGGGTTAAGAATAGGGAATGTGAGTTACTAAGGTTTTGATTAGTTCTATTTTTGTCTTCACTTTTTGTAAACATAAAAGTTAAAAGCATGTTCAGCAGTAGTGTTTTTGTCTTCTGCTTCCGAAGTAAAAAATGTATTTCTTGGGAATGGTTAGAAACAAGATATTTATAGTATTCATTGTTTTTTAAACATGTATTCCGATTTTGACCATGTTTTGGTTTTTCTAATAAAAATGCCGTAAAATCATACATACAATCAGACCTATTAAACAAGTTCCAAATTTTAGATATCTGAAAATAAAACAAAGCAATGTCTGAAAGCAGAAAAGATAAATACTTAAAATCAGGAAATGTTACCATATGAGCCCTACATGAGTAATCAATTTATGGTTTGTCAAAAACTTTGGTACAAGTGTCATTATATCCCAAATGTGCATCAAATTTGGCGCAGGGACAAAGTACGCCTGAAAGAGGGGAGGCCTCATATCAACTAAAGGGACTTGTGAGTAACAAAACTACACTTGCTTCTTATTCTGTGACTTACATGTCATTCCTGTCTGAAATTAAGATGACATATTTGCAGCTACACTCGGTTGACTTGCCTATCAATGATATGGTTAAAGATGCCAAGGAACATATAGAATCAGGCGCCAAAAACAATTCCTGTGACAAACCAAATCAAGATGGAGATAGTGATGATGAAACTGAAGTTGTTCCTGTTGAAATAAGGCCTGGACATTTCCGATTTGAGCCTCTAGGAAAAGGTCTATTGCATATCCTGGCGCTGTTCATATACTTCCTCAGTTCTTCTCTATGCGTGTTGCGATGGCTGATTAGTTAGTTTACTTTGTTTTATGCTTGGAAGACAAGAATTGGAGTTCAACTCCGTTACAATTTTCTTCTTTATAGCTACTCAAATTGATATTCGAGGAAAAAAGGCTCTATAGAATGACAGTATTAGCACTTTTCTCTGCATATGACTGAAATACAGCTTCATCTCTTGAAAATCTATTGAATGGTGCATGATATTTGCTAACATGTGAAGTTCTTCTCTGTGATGCAGAACGAACTATGGAACCAAATCAATTGAATGTGGTGGTATGTTGTTCCCATTTAAGATAAAATTGCTCTATCTATTCATGAATCAGAGCGAATTATTTTATAGTTTAGAATGTGGAAGTGTGAGTGTCTTCTCACTTGCTGAAAACCTGATGGCACAAAAGCATCTCCATTAATTGTACTGGAGTACTGCTTTAAGTTGTATAATTTCTTTGAGATATTGTACTCTTTAGCACTACTCTATTCCTTTTATTTTCATTATACTATCCTTGTTAGAGGGACTCTTTATCTTCTTGTTAAGACTCAGATGATGTGCAACTTCTGCTCCAGGAAAGTTTCCAGTGGAATGGAATCACCAGCAAGAGAAGGGGTCAGAAATGGGGCACAGAGAAATCTTCATTCACCCAAAGAAATGAAGTTAATTATTCAAATAGAAAACAATCAGAAATGCCTAATGCTAAAATATTAAATCATTCTAATGAGCCATTTGACTTTACTGAACTTCCGTTCCTCTCCGGCTCTTTAAAGGTGTGTTCATTTTATTGATGACATATTTTTGTGCTTTCAAAAAATGGATCACTCGAATGGAAATTTCATTTCTTTTTTAATGACTTGGATATAAAACGAAAATCGTGATACAGCCCCTCCATTTATAATTACTATAATCATATGAATGGCTTTGTGGCCTTGAAATTTTTTAATTTCTCCTGATTATTTGAAATTTTAGCAAGGTGATGTGATTGCATATCGGTTTCTTGAACTATCATCCACCTGGACACCTGAGCTATCCTCCTATCGGGTATTTTCTCACATTGGTTTGGGTTTTGCTACTTTTTTCATGCATACATAGAATAACATCAATAGTATACTTATGTTCTCTTCTGTTGAAGGTTGGGGAAGTATCATCCTATGATTCACAATTAGGTGTGGTTTCATTGATGCCAGTCCCTGAGTTTCCAATCCTTTGTGAGAAGTCTGATGGAGATGATGAGTCTTCAATGCAACCTGTTGCAAACTATAAAGAGGACGGATCTTTGGAGGTAAAGAAAGTAAACAAGTCAACCCCTCCCCCCAAAGAATAAAAATAGAGATTACACACAACATAATATCATTGTTCTCCTAACTTCAGCCTAGTAGCAGACTAGCATCTGGCCCACTGCTCAATATTTGAACTATAATCTGCATGCAGATAGAATTTTCTGCACTAGCTGAAGTTCGTATTTTGCAACATAAAATGAGAGTCCCTGTTAGCTCCAGTGGTGGTGTGGCTAGAGATAATACTACCTTGTTGAAATGCACGGCTGATGTGCAAACACCCGCTCCCATTCCAACTGGTATGAACATTTCAGCTGGTTGTTGCTTTTTGTATTAGTGGGTAAAGTATGCTATCATCCCTCAAGATGTAACGAAATTTATTTGAAGTCCCGTCTTTAAGACATGTAAGTTTTTTGGACCCACATTAATGGAGTGGTGATGAATGTGGTACCTTCACTGATTTTCCGGTAGGTGAACGGTCATGTGGCAGAAAGGGAGGGTAAAGTAGTGATGTTTATTTGAATTTTATTTTTCTATCTCATCCCCGTCTCCTCTTTCCTTCCGATGAAGGGGTTGATCAAATGAGCCTTATTATAAGGGGACTAGTAACATATTTTACCACCGCCTCAGTTTTTCTTTCTGCCATATCACCCTTCAATTAACAGAAAATCAGCTGATGCTAGTCAACACAGTCCCTCTGGAGGGGCTAGAAACAATTTTTCTATATTCTGAGGGGCTATAAACAGATTTGCTATATTTGGGGGGGAAGGCTAAACATTTTTTACCTTCCCTTCTCACAACATGGTTTACTGTTTTGCAGAAAACAAAAATTTGATCAATGACAGTGAAGAAAATTCTGTCATCATTGAAGGTACTATCTGTGCTCCCATTTGCATCAACTGTATACAATTTGACTCCACGTCCCTCTTAAAATGATGGCATTTCCTTATCTATAGATAACAATGTAGATCCATGGGAACAAATCAGTGAAGCTCTAAATGCAAAAAAGCAACAACTTTCCCAGGAAACTAACTGCGATAGGGAGAGTTCAGGCAAGACTTGGTCCTATAAATCGCTGAGAGGCAGTGCTTTAGGCCCGACAATGGCTCTTCTAAGATCTAAAAATCAGATATGAGGCAAAATAGTAAAATGGATCTGTTTTTTTCATCAACTGATGACTGATGTTACTGTTTTTTTGCCGAATGGAGAAGGGCAGCCCTTCTGTGGGTTTCTAACGAAACAGTAACTAAATGTATCAGGGTTAACTTTGTTTTGCTCCCCATGACTGGGTTCCCTAAGCTGTCTTGTTTTTTTGCCAACAAGTTGCTCTCTAATTTCTCCTTCTGAACTGCTTCAAGCGGTTTGTTGATGTAAATATTGAAACATTGCATGGTCTGAGTGGATCTTGGAAATTCGAAGAGGGTACATGTTTTTTGTATCTTAGTGTTTTATAAAGATGATGGGATTTGCTGATCTTTCTTCTGGCCTTCAGGGAGTGAAAAGTTTTATGTTGTTGGCATCCAGAAGAACAAGGAATAAGTTGTGTGCAACATTGAAGCAAACACCAAGGGCCTTTTTGGATGTAGGGCTTATCCAATGTCTTGATATACGGAGTATGTTTGAACTTTTATAAAAGTTGAAAGATCAGCATCCATACATGTGATATAGTACGCCTTTCTGATTTTTTCCTTGAGCACTATAAATCTACTTATTGGTCAAATTGGGTCAAAACTCAAAAGAGTAGTTAAAATTATCCCAACCCAATATAAATTCTTCATAATGAAGTACTAAACCTATGAGGCTATGACTAGGGATGGACTGGGCCGGGCCGAACCGGCCCGGAACCGGACCGGCCCGCTACTGTGCGGGCTCGGACCGGACCGGGCCCGGTTGGCCGGTTCCGGGCTTTTAGCCCGTGTTGGCGGGTCGGGCGGGCCGGTTCCGGGCCCTTTTTTTGTTGAACCGGCCCGGGCGGTTCGGGCCGGGCCCGGTTCATTTTTTTTTTTTTTTTTTTGGTTTTTTCAATTTTTTTTCTTTTCCTAGGGTAGGGCTGAGTGTTTTAGGGAGGTTTGGGGCATGGGGGTGAGGGGGGGGGGTAGGGAGATAACAAGAAAGTAAAAAAAAAAAAACATTGAACCGGGCCCGGCCCGGCCCGGTTAGGCCCGGACCCGGTATCAACCCGGGCCGGTTCCGGGCCCATGTAACCCGAAAAAAAGCCCGCCCGGGCCCGGCCCGGAACCGGAACCGGCCCGGCCCGGGTCCATCCCTAGCTATGACACGATTTATAAGATTGAAATGTCAATTTACATCAACAACTAGTCGTGCTAGCCTGCTAGGGTAATTTTGTTCTAACCCAGTCTATTTTAAATGTATTTATTGGTCAGTTTGGCCATTGGCCAAATATGCATACTTATAAAGACATACGGAGTAATAAAGATGACTGAATTATCAATTTCACATTGGATCTATTTTTATAACAGTTTTTTTGTTCAGATATAGACAAATCTTCCTAAGCCTTCCATAGTTCCATCCAAACAGATCTTAAAGGGAAAGTGGTGCGTCGTGACTCGTGAGGATCACTTGCCTTGAATGGTTTGCAAATATCTTATTCTTTGCTTTCTCAAGACAAACTGCGGCTATATGCTTCTGTTTTAAGTATCCTTCTTCCCTGATGATTCACTTCCATCCCAAGATCTATCCCCTCTTGTTCCCATTTCCCAGTATGTCCCGGTACGACAACAATCCCCATTTCCATGACTCGAATGACTATGAAACACCAAACACGCCTCGTAGGCCGGGGCTTGCCAATATTCAGACAAGGTCCCGACCACTCCCATCCCATCAACAGCCCAACAGACCAGGGTACGAGATGCCGCCGCCAATATCACATAAATCCCCGGTTCCACTGTCACCACAACCTTTTCTTCCTCCTAATCATCATCAATCATCGGTCCCGGAAAATGCCTCCGATTTTCCTTATCAAGATGGGTCAGACAGAAGACTCCCTCTACCACCTTCTGGCCGCGGTGGTTTTCGTGCTGGGACCCAGCCAGCTTATCCTGACCACCGACGAGAACGCTATCAGCCTTCACAAACACGGCCTCCAACAGGTTGGAGCAAAAGTAAAACCGCCACACCATGTGCATGGCTTGCATGTTGCTCACTTGTTGTATTAGGCCTGGTACTCCTCGTAGTGTTACTTGTTGTCAATCAGCCCCGAAGCTTGAAGTTTGATGTATCAAGCGTCAATCTAAACACAGTCTCTCTCGACACGGGAAACCTCCTCAGTGTTGACCTCACTCTACTAGGGAACTTTAGTAACCCAAACAAGAGAGGGAGTGTGGAGTTGAAGGACTCAATGGTGAATCTGTACTATGATGGAACACAGATAGCATCCTCTAACATGCTTTCTTTCCCTCTCACGCATGGTGAGTACAAGTTCCAAGATGTTCACCTCGCAGCAGGCCAAGTCGGGCTCCCGTCGAACGCTAGCAGCCTCATAAGCAAGCAGATGGAAAGTGGGAGTGTGTGGTTTCAGGTGAAGGGCACTTTCAGAACAAGGTCTACTGGCCTTATTAAGTACTCATATTGGCTCCATGCCTATTGCACCATTGTCCTTACTTACCCTCCTCCTGGTGCCTTGGTTGCCAGAAGTTGCACAACCAAGCGTTAAAACATGCTCATGAGTCATGACAAACACATTTTAATTTTTCTTTTTCAAAATTGCGTTTTTAAAATAGTTCTAGGACTTGAACCAAGTGTAGTCTCATTTTCTGCTTCATTTTTTTATTCCATGCTTATGTGTTTTTCACTCTTTGAACAATACAAGTTTCCCCACAACATTTTATCACTCCCTTTGTCCAAAAAAAAAACATGACAGTTTATGAGAGCGCGTATTCCAAAGGCGTTAGGAGGCACCTACACAGTAGATTAGGGTCTAGCGCCTAGGCGGGTTTAGTCGGGATCAATTAGGGTTAAGTGGGACAACCCCAAAATAAAATAGTAGACAGATAAGTGAAGACCTTTGAAATAGTAGATGCAACTAGGTAAATGATGTCTGAATAGTGACATGACAGAAAAACACTTTCTTCAAAATCTCATTTCTTCAATCTTGTAATTCAATTCGTTCTGTGGATTTTATACTCCGTAAATGCTAATCATATTTCCCACTTCTTGAATGGTTTTCTATTTCACCCTCAGTTGGTCTCTACTGTTAAATTTTCCATCGGTACATCCATTAATTGTCATCTTCCTTTCCTTTCCTTGGTGTAAATTAGGCCTGGACTCGGGCCGGGCGGCCCGACCCGGAACCGGCCCGGCCCGGCCACTGTAGCAACCGGCCCGGACCGGTGGCCCGGTCCACCGGCGGTTCGGGTCGAACCGGCCCGGCGGTTCCCGGTTCCGGGCCCGGGCCTTCCATATGGTGAACCGGCCCGGCCGGTTCGGGCCCGGTCCGGGCCGGATTTTAATTTTTTTTTTTTTTTTTGAAAATTTTTTTAAGTCTTGGGTTGGAATAGGTATTTTGGGCCATTTGAGGTGGTTTGGGGTTGAGGGGGAGGGGTAGGGGATTAAATAGGAGAACCAAAAAAAAAAAATTGGGCCGGTTTGGCCCGGCCCGGTTTGGCCCGGAACCGGAACCGGCCACCGGCGGTTCGGGCTCGGGCCTCCCCTTTCCTGGCCCGAGGCCCGGCCGGGCCCAGGCCCGAACCGGGCTCGAGCCGGACCGAGTCCAGGCCTAGTGTAAATGACTTGTGATTAATGTAAATGAAATGTATGTTTTGAGTAAAAGAAATTTTTTTCTAGACCTTATGATGTAAATGGGTAAATGATCTATGATGGGTGTAATGAATCATGAAAGTATCTTGCCACTCTGAACTTTTCCTATATTCTAAGCACTGAATGGTATGCCACGTCACGTTTGTGCTATTTGCCTATATCCATTTTTGGAAGTTTAATCAAGAGAGAATTCCCTAAATAGGAGTAAAAACGTTTTGAAATTCCAAAATAGGAGTATCATGTTTTTTATTCCCTAAATAGGAGTAAATTTCTGCCAAGTTTGGGCATTACAAGGCTTTAAACATGACATTTTCTTCCAAACTTGGCAGATTACTCCTATTCAGGGAATAAAAAACATGATACTCCTATTTTGGAATTTCAAAACGTTTTTACTCCTATATAGGACAATTTCTGTTTAATCAACATTTAGCCGTCAAATAGCGCCGTGCGAATTAGAACTTGCTCGGAACCTTGAAGTGTAGACTAATTTGACGAAATGGAGCGGAAATAATTGACAACAAAAAACACTTCAACATTTTTTACTTAAATTGGTATTTCTCTTAAATTTTGAAACTTTAATGCTAGAACCTTTAAATAGGGAAATGATGCTTCATGCTTATATGGTTAAACAGTTCATAACTTCAAAAAAGAGAGCTTTTCACGAACACAAGCAAACACCACCTAACATTTGTGATTTCCGTGTTATTTTAACTCGATCACGTCGATCACATCCACTTCAATAAAGAAACATGGCAACATGTTAAAAACAGCCTGATTACACAACATAACTATTGGCTTGGGGACGAACTGTTGTACCGGTGTAAAAGATTTTTAACAACTTTATTAGTTCAAAGTTCAAACAATGCTTTTATAATAAGCAGTTAAGCACAACTTGCAAAATACAGAAAATAAATGCAAGTAGACGGTAGAGAAAAGAGTGGATATGCTTTATTATTAAATAGACTTACACACTGATTGAGTGATTTTACATCTAGTAAATAAGTAGAAGATCCAATTTCAGCCTTTTCAGGGAGGAAAAAATGCCCTTACAAAACTTATGCTGGCACAACAGCAGAAACACAATATCCCAACATCGAACTGAATGACTTCTTGTGATGCAATATTTACACACGCAAGAATTGGCACGACAATTCCACCTTTCATGCAATCCTCATAAATATCAGGTGGACTGCAATGGGCACCTAAGAGGCAAGAAATCACCCACAATGCCCTTATGGCCTCCTTAATTGATCGCAAGTGAAAAAAGGATGCTTAAGTGCGTTACGAGCTGTCATCCTGATTGAAGGATCATATCGGAGAAGTCCTTGCAGGAGGTCTATAAGATCACCTGCTGAATGATCAACCTGCTGCATCACTAAATTCTGCATAAAAGATTTCATCTCAATATATGGCTATGCCAAAAAGTACAAAACATGCTTGGTAAATCTGTTGTGGATGTGTAAGTTTATACTACGCACTTCCTCCGTTCTCTTTAAATTGCAACGGTGCATTTTTCACGTTTGCCAACGCACAAGTTTGACCATTAATATATTTCATTTCTTATTAGTAAAATAAAATAAAGATAACTTATTTTGAAAATTTAAAATTAAAGGAATTTAACAATATATTTCAAAAAATTAATTTATAATACATTAATAAATAAAATGTAGTCAAGGTAGAGTATGTGAATTGTGCTAAACACACCAATGTTGCAATTAAAAAGGAACGGAGGTAATATTAGTTATCACGAAAATGTACTACTGAGAAATTCTATATGTATGTAATCAGCGTCAATGCGAAACATGCTTTCAAACAATCAAAACAATAAATGCATGTTTCAAGGTCTTGTTTTAAGAAATTGCCCTAAATAGGGGTAAAAACGTTTGGGAATTTCAAAATAGGAACGCTGTTTTTTTATTCCCTAATTCCCT